TAGTATGTATAGACAAGGCATGCAATGAACTAGTTTGTCGTGGATTGGATCAGCACCTGAAGATGGCACTTTTGTGCCGAAACATGTAGTGCGAGTGAGAAGAGGGGATAGATGAATGTATGCACTAGAAGACGGATAAAATAAATCATGGACTTAAATCAGTGCAACAGGATGCTAAAATATAACATTATTCAAATTTATGTACATTTGTAATTAACCCTTCCGCACCGACATCCGTGTGCTGCACCGACTCTTTAAATAATCGTATGCCACCGACATCTGTGCAGTGCACCGACCTGCGCAGTGTTAGCTTTGAAGGACGTTGCTGACAAAACGAGGAAAGATATTCCAATTTTCTTTTCAGGAGTACATAGATTAAGGTTTCATCTTTCAATTGGTATATGAGTTATTTATTTTGGACGAATTTTTAGCACGGTATTTTTATTTTATATCGTTAGTGTAATAGTTCGTACTTTGGTCTCATTGCGCCTAGATTTCATTGAAATTTTTCAAATTCTGAGTAAGGAAAACGTATAAAACTATATATCTTTCGACTCTATGGTCTTTGCTTGTCTATATTGAGTCACTCACTGAAACCCCAGACGAAGGTTTTCCTTGAGTGGGTTGCTGTACAGTCTGCTGACACAATGAAGTAGTCAAACAAGAGGGTCCTTTTTTCTTGGAACCAAATGCAACCTAAGAAAATAAACTTACGAATGATACAGAAATCTATGATGTCATAACACTTTCTTCTCTCAGTCGCGCCATAACCATGGCCTCTACAAGTAGGAAAGTTTTACAGGGCGATGAACTAGAAGAGTTCCTTGCTCACGACTCGGAAGTTAGTGAGTTCGAATATTCGGATAGTAGTGAAAACAGTGATAATGAAATTGAAGATCAGGCTGTAGTTGATGCTATCCAAGATCTTAGTATTGAAGATGACGACGAAATAGTGGCGAGGGTTCCAGTGGCGGATTCAGACGAGAGTTATTTTTGGCAAAATATGGATAATTATGATGGCGTTCGCGAACGGTTTTCTGAAAATTCAGGCCCGAGAAATCAGTCTGTCAATGTGCTCGATATAGTACAGACATTTCTATTAATTTTTACTGAGGATTTTGTGAACAATATCGTTCAGGAAACAAACACTTATGCGCAACAATTTATATGTGGGAGGGTTTTTCCATTTAGATCTCCAGCTAGGCAGTGGGTACCAGTGACACTAAATGAAATGTATGTGGTCTTAGCCTTGTTCTTGCTGATGGGTATAGTCAATAAGTGAACTCTAAATTCATACTTTTCAACGAAAAGATTACTATACACTCCAGCATTTCCTGATGTAATTTCGAGAGACAGATTCCAGCTTATATGTAAATTTCTCCATTTCAATGCAATTTCAATTTAATGCAAGATGGAATGCGCTTGCTTTAAGTGTATTGTGATGACATGGAAGTACGAAAGAAATATTTATATAACTAGTGACTTGAACACACATTTTCTGATTATCCTACAGATAGACACACTGGATCTACAGGTTGGATTTTCATCACGTCTCCTAAGCAAAGAGTACAGGGAACGCTATTATTCAAAACTGTTTGTACAGAAAAATGATTTTTTCCAAAATATTCAATATGGCGTGGAGTTCTTGCGAGAAATTCAGCAAGAACGTCTTGCTTCTCCTTCTGAAGAACACAGGTGAGTATGACCATTATGGAACTTATCACTTCCAGCTATCTTACTTTATTTAAGAATTAAGTAGGAATTGGACCAGAACAGATGACTTGAAAGCAGCACATCAGTATGACTTAGACATAATTGGATACTTCGCATACCAAAGAATCAGCTGTACCAGGTTTCAAAACAAATGTATAGCTAGGACAAGAACAGACATCAGGCATTTTTATGGTAGGTGTCACAGCAGTATTGGGTCAACCGGAAACCCGTACCTGGTTCATAAAGATGGCAGTGGTTGCTGTTGTTCTTGTCGTCATTGTTATCACCACTGTCATTGTTAATGCTCTCAGCAGCAGAAGCAACATATCCCTACATTTACTATAGGTCAGTTCTTCAAAGAGAGAATGTTTTGAACCAGGTGGACCTAGTGGCTGCCTGAGGTGGCAACCTACTTTACAAACTTTCTGTTAAACCGAAATTAATTTATGCTAATCTTTTGGTCATATCAAAACCTTAGTTGCCAGGAAACCAAACATGTTATGCAGCAGTGCATATAAAACAGTTTTAAGAATGATGGCACATAAGACAGATTTGTCACAGTGTCTGGAAATTTTGTCTTATTGTGACAAAGTCTTGAGAAAGTCGATGTGTGATGGCATATTCTGGGTTACTTACTCTTACTTATAGGTGCGATTGTCTGTTCTTTAATTAAATCCCAATTATTTTTATTTCTCTCTCACATAATATACCCTGTTTCTTCAAGTAGTGGAGCACACAAACAACATCATATGTTGTCTCTGTAACATTGGGTTTTAATTACATGCAGCATATGCAGACTGCATCTGATATGTTTGTATTTTCAGCAGCTTCCAGAAATTGTGCACTGGCTAGGATTTGAAATGCATATTGTGTATGAAGTCCAGTTTTGTTACAAGGTGCTGATAGCCAGCGTGCTTAATTTACCAAGTCAAATTTTGATTTTCATTTTGTCAGCTTTTATAAAGGTTCAAAGGTACTGTTAAAGTAATGATTTGCAAGCACAGTTTTCAGAAGGAATGTATGGTCTCTGAATAAATACAGAATTTTTTAATTGCATGTGAAAGTAGAAGAAAATATCAGGGGTTCCATCTTGCCCATTGTATATCACTAGTAATCTTTCACTATTATGTTATGTATCTTGATGATGTAAGTTATTTTTTCATATTATTTTGTCAAAATGAATTGGAAGTAGATGGAATGACAATATTAAAATCAGTCTTAAAATGATAGAATATGGGCTGGTTTGAATTGCCTTAGAATAGGCTCCAGTGATAAGCTCTTGTGGTTATAGTAACAGAACTTGGGGTTCCATAAAAGCAGGAAATTGTTGACTAGCTGTGTGAGTATCAGCTTTTCAGCAAAGACTGTGGCTTGTGGAATTAATTATTTTTGCCAAAATATTTATAAGAAATATTGGTATAGCATTGTTACAGGTGTATTTAATGAAGAAAAAACTTGTGATTTTATGAAGGAAAAACACTTTGTAACTAATGTACTGTCACATGTTAGGGACTAGACATGGGGTTTGGATTGATAATTGGCATTATGGAACACCTGTAACTCGTAACCACAATTAAATATAGCACTTCCACTGATTTGGAGTTGGGGTAGTGACTGGCTATGGGCTGGACGATTGAGGGGTTGCAGTTCGAGTCCTGGTAGGGTGAAGAATTTTCTCTTCTCCACGTTGTCCAGACCGGCTCTGGGTCCACACAACCTCGTATCCAATGTGTACTGGGGACTCTTTCCCGGGGGGGGGGGGGACTGAGACGTGAAGCTGACCACTCACATGTGGATCTATACATCCACTCCCCCATACACCTACATGGTGTAGTGCTTAATTAGCCAAGCACTGGGACAACTTTACATTTTTTCTACTCTCCCTAATTTAAAAACTTCATAGGTTGATACAGCTATAGCATACATTAAGTCTTCTGTGTGGTCACTAGTCATTGCTAGGTAGCAGCTGCTAACAATGAAACTCAAGACTACTGACCACTGACTCCAACCTCAAACTAACTAACTTTTCCTCTTGCTCCTCACATTATATATATCCTTGGCATGGACTACATAGAAAACACCGCTTCCATCAGTTCCTCTGTTGTTGTATGTTTATTTGTTGCTGCAGAAACCTGTTTACCATGCTGGTGCCTACTAATGGTCTTAGTTTTCAGCTGTCATGTCACAGTATTATAAAGGCATGAGAATTTTCTCAGAACACCATCAGAAATTTGCACCAGAACTCTTTTCTAAGATGGTACACATTAATTTTTGTAGCAAATGATCAGATTAATTTTTATGCATGTTCCACACATTCTGTAGCTTAAAAAGAAAGAAAATCGAGAACAGGTATATAATACTTAAACAGTGTATGTTGTATTTTCTGGAGTTGTTTCATATCTGAAGAACTGGTTCAGGAATTTTATTAATCCTATTAAAACCTCTTAATTACATGATTTTATTAAATATTTTGAAGCAGAACTGGATTGGTAGTAAAACTTTATTCAATATAAGAGCATCAGAAGTTAAGTTGCAGATTAGGATGAGAATTGAAAATTTTACAAAGGAATTTTTAATTTACACACTGTAGCAATGAAGACTTACAGGAGAGCAAAATGTTGTGAGTAATGAATGATATTACATCAGTATGGTCTCAAGAATAATGAATATGCAACTGTATAAGCTTAATTCTTTTCAGGTGGATAGATGCCTTGTCTGTTGGCAGCAGTCCAACTTACGTGACGTCGGCCAATAAAGTGATAGTACCCTTGCATATCTTGATACCACCAGTCTTCCATCCTGAATATCCCTTGTAAGTGGTAACATGTTTTAATATCATTTATTTACTTACTTACTTACTCATGGAGCTGAGCCCTTCTGGAGTAGCTGCCAAATCTGCAGCTACTCAAGAATTTCCCAGTATTTTATGGAACCCGAAGGTTCATTACCATGTTCAAAAGAGCCCTCCACTGGTCCCTATCCTGAGCCAGATCAATCCAATCAATACCATTCCATCCTATCTCTCTAAGATCCATTTTAATATTGTCCACCCACCTACGCCTTGGTCTTCCCAGTGGTCTCTTTCCTTCTGGCTTTCCCACCAATATCCTATACGCATTCCTCGTCTCCCCCATTCGTGCTACATGACCTGCCCTCCTCATCCTCCTTGACCTGACCATTCTGATTATACTTGGAGAAGAGTACAAGCTATGAGCTCCTCATTATGCAGTTTTCTCCAACCTCCTGTCACTTCATCTCTCTTTGGTCCAAATATTCTCCTTGTTTTAATATCATTAATATCTTTTATTTATATGTTGGTAGTATGTGAACTGTGTGAACCTCCCAGATTCTGTTTGACAGATTTCAAACTTAATTTAAATCTTCACTAGTAGAAATTCTTAATATAGATATATCGGTAAGTTATAATTAATTCTGTGGAACCTGAAGGTTCTATATACACAAGAGTCAGCCACCAGATAAATGTACCACATAGTTCACATCCTTTTCTCCTACATCATTAGGATCCATTTCTATATTATATAACTGACCCATGCAGTGAGACTTCAAGCCCCACATGTTGATCATCACTTATAACTGTTCTCTTAGTGCCCTTATGTTGGATTCCACTTAATCTTGTGTAACTGGTCCTCCTACCTTCCGCCTGCGGCTCCGTCTGAATAGTAGTGCAGGGAGTGGAAGTCTATGGCGATCAGCCCTTCTGCTCTGATGACTACTTTGACGCTGCCCTACCTGGTGTTGCCGCTGCTGAAGTTGCTAGGTTGTAGCTGGTTTTGGCTTGACCAGGCTCCACCGCTTCTTCTGGCTCCATCGCTTCTTCCTTCAGTTGAGATTATTGGGGGTTGGATTTTAGGATTGTATCTGATAGTATGGGCGCCAGCAAACAGGTAGAGACTGTTTACGATTCATAGTAAGCGGGAGAAGGAGTGAGCATGTGAAAGCTGATGGTGGGTTTGACTAGCTAGTGGAGATGAGTCTCTCTTCAGGTTGGATATGGGTCAGGCTCGGACAAGTGAGGGTGAAGCACCTCTAATCAACACAATTCACTGTACCACCACAACACTGTATGGTTGTTCTTCTTAAAGACACTTGGCTGCATAAATTCACACAATCTGATTTAGTTTTGGCTTACAAGTAGCTGGTGTTACACTTACACTAAAATGCACTCAATTAGCTTGCCAAAGTCCTTTGTGCCGCGCTCTTGTTGATTAGGCTAATTCTCAATATGAGTCGTTATGAGAGCAAAATTTTGTACTTCTTAGAATTATCTTTTAGCGTGTGTGATGCGGGGTTTGCCTCCACCAAGTTCAAAAGTTGATAGATGACTAAAATCTTAGACTGAACTCTCTGCTGAGCCAAAGGTCCTAACTGAGTTGTATGTGCCTATTTGCCTCTCCCCCTAATTTCCCTGATAGGCTGATTCAAATAAGGGGAGTTGGCTTAATTTTAGTTCCGGAAAATGACAGATTGTTTTTAAGTGAATTTCGTCATAAAAGACAAAATGGCGAAATTGACAGTGAAGCAACTTATGAGGGGTCGCTAATGATCTCCTGGCACTCCCACTTTTGACTTACGGCTGGTAGAATCTGTCACTTCTTGAATTCTCAACGTGTCTCGCCGCTGCAAGTCTAATTCTCAATTTCTAAAGAAACTCAGTGGGGTTTCTTGAAGTATCACTTTCTGCCCTTTTGGAAAATAACACCAGATGCTTGGACACGAGGACTAGCAGATGTCCTTGTCTGCGCAAGTTTGGTCTATCTGCTCATTGCCTATTCCTTGTTCTTACAGTGTGTCTTAAACCTTTGTTTCTTCATAAATTCTTATTATAACTATCAGCTACTGAAATAAAAAAAAAGGGGGAGGATTTCGATGATGAGGTTACAATTATTCCATATTCTTTGCATATTTCTTCCCTTTAGGTTTATGACCAGAATCTTGTACATACCTCTCATTTTTTTAATTCATGCTACTTGCCCCATCCATTTCATCCTCCTTGATTTGATCATTAATAATATTAAGTGAAAAGCAGAATTATGAAGCTCCTCTATCACCCTCACACTTCCACTTCTTAGATCTAAGTATTATCTTCAGCTCATACCTCAAATTGATATTATCAGTTATATAATTATTAGCATATCATTTGGCTAGTGCCTCTGTTCAAGAGGCAGTTCATTTGGTTCCCCCAGAGACTTCCTGTGTTAACCTTTAACATCTGAAGTGCCCTGATCGGGCCAGTGATGAATATGGTCGTCATGGCCAAAGTACCCTGTTTTGGCCAGTCGGGCATTTAAACTCCACTAGTGGAAGCACGTGCACACACTGCTAGTAAAAGTGCATGCACAGTCCTAGATATTTATTTTTAAATGTAGTAATTACCAGACAGACTTGAGTAAAACCATAATAGAGGAATTAAAATGATACCTAAGTGAACAACAGCAAAAAAGAATATACGTGTGAGTTATGCCCAAACTCATCCATGAGCCAGTACTTTTATTGCAGATTCTGCAGATTAACATGTTAAAAATATATAGTAAAATTCGATGTACATACCTTATTTGTTGTGGTCTGCTTTATGTATATATAGGCTGAAATGAAACTACAGTATTTGATTTCACTATGAATGCACAGAAAACAGATCGTACTCTGTATCTCAGCCATGATGCAACTGTCTGTTCATGATCCTAGAAAGGGCAGTAATCTCTTGCAGTTATAATGGAAGGTCTTAGCACCGAAGAAAGGACCCCTCTAGCTTTCTCTTGAATAGCCATTCTTTCATTCTTCTGTCCTTCAGTCAAAATATTCAAAAATCCGAAGGGTGTATGCAGTGCTAGCAGAAGACCAAATGATTTATTGCTTCCATCTGTTATATGACACCAGGGACTGCTAAAATTTGTCAAGTGTTACAAACAGAAATTAATTTATAATGCAGAACAGCTCTGTGAAGAACTGGGAAACCAATTCTGCAGTACACATCAAAGTTAAAAGAAAAAATTTGAAAATAGAGTATAACTCTTTGTATAAAAATTTTCAAATCTTCCGTTAAAATATGTGACACTATGTTCTTTGTTGATACAAACAAGTAATTCCATCCATTTATCATAAAAATTGAGTTAGATACAGCATTTTTAAACTCAGTGCTTAAAATTATTTAAGCGCCCTAACAGGAACGGACATTTAAACGCAGAGTAGCAACAGGCATTTAAATGTGCACCAGCAGCGGGCATTTAAATAAACTCCGGCCAGCTCAAGCTTACCACCATTTCAGAAGTCTGGCGTTTAAAGGTTAATGTTGTAAGGGGTATTGTGACAAAATATGATCCATTTGCTCAGCAACGGGTCGCTAAACACCTTCCCCCTTAAGTGCGTGACAACAGTAGGGACTCCATTACTATAATAATATGTGCTGAGACTGGTTGCTATTAAATTGCATGGTAACACATCTCTACAATAATAGAAGAGGTTTCTATGTAGTCCATTCCACGGCTATATAAGGAGAGGTGTGAGCTGAAGGATTAGAGAAAGAGAGAGATAGAATTGGAAATAGGAGCTGTGAGCATCAGGAGAATTGTTGAAGAAGAAAAAGAAGTCAGACTGTGAAGACTTAACTTGTGATTTGAAGACTTTATTTTATGTGTTATAGTTACAGTAATCTTTAGTGGCCTCCGTAGTCTAGAGGTAACGTTCCCACCTCATGACTCGTAGTACGCGGGTTCAAATACCCGGCGGAGGTCATCGAATTTTTAACACATTGCGGACCGGTGGTTTAAACATTTAAATCACCCTGGGGACCGGCGTTTTTAAACCTACTACCCTAACTTGTGCACTGTTCACTTTAAAAATTAATATAAAATCTCCTAATTAATTTTATGAACTGAAATTTTTGGAGAACACTTACCAGAGCTCCTAGAAGTGCTTGCTCGTGTGATATTTCTGGAAACGTTCCCCTTTGTGAAGAGGCATTACACAGAAGTTGCACATGTAGGCAGTTCTACTCTTCTTCTTGTGCTCTGCGCACACACGGCACTGCCTAGAAGGGTGTTTCTTCTTGCAATATTCACTCTTCACAATTTTCACGAGAATATGTTTCCGCATATCACCCGAGAGTCGGCCAGGGGGGTCTACTTGAGGCCTCTGGCGGGTGCGAACAGATGGCCCCGGCTGTACTACGTCTGTATCTGACGCAGGTACTGCCGCCACCGTGACGTCAGTAGCCCAAGCTTTTGCCAGTTTCAACAGAAATGCTTTGTATTTCAAAGTAGAATTTCTGTTCACCTTTTTGAAAACCGTAAATGAATTGAAAATTGCACAGTTTATAAGCCACAGTGCAACTTTCTTCGTCCATTTTACTGTTTTCCTAGGAAGGGAATAATAGGCCAAGAACTGGTCAGCCCTATCAACTCCTTTCATGAACATATTATACTCAGAAATACAAAGAGGCTTCTTTACTTGCCCGTGTCGTCTTTGAACATCGACCATGCTCGAATTGTGAATAGTGGAAACCATATTCACAACGCGAGTATCCCTCCAGGACTGAAGAAGAATGTCCCCCTTCCTCCTGAATGCGGTGTCGCCACGTTTCAGGCGTTTACATTCCTCTTTCAGATCTGGAGGGAGGCCTCTGTTCACCCTAATTGTACCACAAATACGTACTTTCCTTGAAAGTAGGTATTCTGCAGTTGCCACACTGTTGTAATAATTATCTTGATACACGTGATAATTTTGATCGAGATAGGGACCCAAAACAGAAACAATAGTTTCTTGCAATTTCTTGCCTTCAGCAGAATAAATTTCTAAATTTCCTATATAGCCTGAAGTGCTTTCCGTGACAACACGAACAAGTAGGCCATACTTTGTGAGCTTCCCAGGATTATACGTTCGAATACGAAGCCTTCCTCTCCAAGGAATCACAGATTCGTCCAAAGACAGTTGTTGCTCTGGCTTATAAACTGTCTGAAATTTTTCAACCAAAATGTCTAATAAGGGCTGAATTTTGAAAAGCCTGCCCGTTGGTTGTGGTTGCACTTCATTATTGTTGAAATGCAAACACCACCATATCTGTTCAAATCTCTTACGACTCATGAGTTTGCCGAAAATTGCAATTTCTAAAAATGGGTCACTTGACCAATAATCCTTCAAACTTTCTCTCTTCGTAAGCCCCATTAGAATGATTATAGCCAAAAATTTTTTCATTTCTGTTGAAGTGACATCCACCCACTTCAAAACCTTATTGGTTCTGTCGTACGCCTCACGGTGTTGGAGATAGTATCTGTTAGTTTCCTGACACAACAGGTCAAAGAAACTCTCCAAAAGACAGTGACACAAATTCAGACACGTGCGTTGGGTCCAATGGCATCTGCTTCACCCCCGGATCACCAGTAAATTTTCCCAAAGTGGGGGTTTTGTCCACTTTATCCCATGTAGCTATCCCGACACTCGCACTTTCAATGGCGCTCTCATTTTCACTTGACACATTTTGGGCAGCCCTGTGGCCCCCGTCACTGTCACTGTCACTGATAATGGCCTCGCTATCAGAAGACGAAGCAGTTGGCAAATCTGATAGCTCATCGGAGAACATATCTAATATTTCCTGTCCTCCGAGAGATCGCAACTGCTTTCGTCTCTGAGCCATGTTGAACTGGTAGCTGCGTGGTTCATACGTGCAAGCTTGGATTAGAACAAAGCCAATTTTGTTTAGGTTGTGACAGGAAATGACTCTGGTCGAGTTACTAGATAAGGCAGCAATCATTCCCGAGGTCATCTACGCAGTAGTTATGATTCAACGAAGTCACACAGCGATATATAGCGTTTTGCAACATAACGTGACCGTAGAGGGCCATATNGGAGGTCGTCGAAGTTTTAAGGGCGGAAAAATTCAGGGAACAAGTCCTCCGGGAGGGACTTTAAGCCTTGGGTTCCGTGTAGTAGCTTTACGGCATGTAAAAGAACCTCATATCTCCAAAGGAGGTCACTGAGCCAAATAACGGACGTTTCCCACCCAACAGCAGTCTCTAATACCTCTGGTAGATGGGGGAAGCATTATAGACACCTCTCGGCTAGTAGAGCCGGTCTCGCTGGCTTGGCGGGACTGATGGTAAGCACCAGTACCAGTAGGATATAGAGACCGGTAGAAATCATAGAGGGAAGCACAGTGGACCAATACAGGTCTAAGTGCATGGCGAAACCCACCCTCTCCAATAACTAACTAACTAACTACAGTAATCTTTAGGGTGTTATCAAAATCCTGTCTACAAGTCACTAAAACATGTGACAGTATCATCATTATACATCATGCAAGGCTTAAGCTGTAAAATATTGTCATCTGTTAGAGACTAGACATGGGGTTTTGATCGATAATTGGGTTTATTTAAGGCTTAAGGAACTCTAACAGTCTCACTGATTGACATCCTGTAAATCACTACAGCACTAGTCTTTGCAAGTTTGAGTCTGCAAACAGTGTAACACAAGTCTTTCGATCTCCAACAGACTGTTGACTGACTGACTGTCACAGGCATTACTTTATGACTGGCGGTTTATCACCTAAGAGCTCTTCTTATGTCATAGTCAGAGTTACTTAACGACTGGCGGTTTACTGCTAATCAGTCTGTCTTTGTGACAAGCCCCTTGAGACCCACTTTCAGTAATTTCTTTTTCAACTGAACACTTGCGGTGTTAGTCCTTTGTAACATCCTATCTGAGGAGAGGATGTGTCTGTTGTTTGCAATTGCTGCTTTGCCCTTGCCAGCACAGTCATTCTCAGGTTCAAGTCCTGCAGAACTCATGACCAAATTTTCCTGTTTCAGATCTGAGACTCCCAGAGTCAGTCAGAGCTACTTTACAACTGGAAGTTTACTGCCAATTAATTTGTCTTGGTGACAAGCTACTTGAGACTCACAATCAGCAATTTTTTTTTTTCAACTGAACACTTGCAGTCATAGTTCTATGAAATATCCTCTCAATGAGAGGATAGGTCTGTCATTTGGAGCTGCTGCTGGCCCTCTCCAGTGCAGTCATATTAGATTCGAGTCCACCAGGATTCATGATCAAATCTTGCTGTCTCAGATTTGAGACTCCACCAACCTGGAGGGCCAGTTCCCTGTATTTATATCTCCCAGGAACATAGTGGCCCAGTTATACCTCCAGGCATTAGGTTCCTTTATGTCACCTCTTATGACTCACAGGGCCACGGTGGAATACCCACCTCCACACGGGTCCAGTTGGTCCTCAGTATATAACATTGATACAGACTGCACAGAGAACACCACACCCTCTATTGTGTCAGTATCTGTTGCCACGGAAACATAATTACGAAGCAGTTGCCTAGCAATGCCTACATCTATTTTTTCCACTATTCTGGCTTTCAGCCTTCATGTCACAGTATGTTTTGTCTTTAAAGATCTCATTCTGTAGTCTTTCTAATGGGTATACAAATTGAACTGTAATTTGTAATTCAAAGACCAGTAATCTCCCATAAGATCTGTTAATCATTAGAACATACACATGTTTTCTTTCATAACTTTACAGGATCTGTCACTTTTATTTCCAGATCTGTTCTTTATGGAGGAGTGGGTGTTCAGCTGGCGACTGCCTTTGTATCAGCTGTCCTTCCATGGAATGTTCTGTATGGAGCTGATGGGAAGCTTCTTCCTTCAGATCATGTGACAGTAAATCAATCGGCCCTTGCATCCCAGGCCCCCATAAAGTTCCTAATAAAAGATTTGGTCAAGTCAGGTCACATTTCAGAGTCAGTGGCTAACAGAACAGCTCTTGCTACTATGAAACAAATTGCTGCCATCAGACAGGCATACTTGGTACATATCAGCTTGACAGTGCATATTTTATGTTATCATTAGTTTATTTCTGAGGTTAAGTAACGATGATGTAAATAGGTACAAACAATTTTTAGGAATCTGCTGTCCCCATCATCACCCTGGTGGTGGAGACAGCAGGTTCCTCCAAAATGTTAGTAGTTACCTACCAAATTATAATTCATCCTCAAAGGCCATGATGCTCATAGTCACTGCTGTGAGACTCGTAAATCTTGTAAAATATTTGTGAAGATCAAAGGAAACTACCACATCTTAAGAAAACAATGTTTACAAATTTTATCAACTCTGAAAAAGTTTACACTTTACTAATTTGAGTAATAGATGATTCTGGATGTTAGAATAGGAGGTATGAGTTTCTGTTTCTAAATTGGACAGATAACAAAGAAAGGAAGACAGAAAGACAAATGAACAAATGCATTAAAACAAAAACCTTACATTAAATAATAAATACAGTAGAAATCAAACATGAAGCCTAATGTGAGAGTTCAGGTTTTCATGATGGTAACTTTGATGTGATACCATATATAGCATGGTAGGATGTTTGTCAGTGGTTTGAATGAACATGTTGTCTCAGTCTTTAGATTACAAGATACAGGCAGCATATTTCTCCAAAAAACTTTACCATCTTTGAATTTCTGCATGATTAAGTTCCATGCTGTAGACAGTTTATGGGTCAGGATAGTGTAGTCGGTATAGTGACTGGCTACAGGCTGGACAATCAAGGGGTTGCAGTTCAAGTCCCAGTGAGATCAAGAATTTTCTCTTATCCACATCATCCAGACCAGCTCTGGGGCCAACCCAGCCTCCTATCCAATGGGTACTGGGGGCCTTTTACTCAGGGGTAAAGGGGCTTGGGCATAAAGTCGATCACTTACTCCCACTAGTGCCAAGGTCAGGAAATTGTGGATATGTATGTCTACTCCCCACACACCTTTATGGCATAATGCTTAATTAGTTAATCACAGGGACAGCTCTACCTTTTTACATTTAATTGAAGACAGTTTAATTACAGATGTGCTATGTTATCAAATATACATTTAGAAACACTTCTTCCTGAAATATTTGTTTGTAATATTCAGTAAATGTATGAGGCGAAAATTCCACTGCAGTATAAGGCTTAACATGTATTTATCATTAAGATTTGTGGAAGAGAATGTAGTGGGCGGATGGAAAAAAATTGCATTATTAGGAGCTAAAATTTGCTTAGTGGGTTGTGGAGTCCAATTGGGTCCACTCGGCACGGTGGCCACTGATTGGCCTATTGTAGCCTACCTTGGATGATTATGATGGAGAATTTGGTGGAATAAAGATTGGCAGGGGAAACTGAAGTACTGGAGAAAACCCTCCCCAGTGCCACTTTGTCCACCACAAATCCCACTTGACCAGGCCCAGGATCAAACCCGGGCCACCATGGTGGGAAACCAGCGATTAATAATTAGGAGCTAAATAATTATTATGTTTCACAAAATATTATTAGAATAATTAAATGAAGGAGGATGAAATGGGTAGGACATGTAACACACATGGGGGAGATTTCAGATTTGCACAGAATTTCAGATGGTGGCAAACTTGAAGGAAAATGACAACATAGGAATTTGAGGTGTACATGGATGGACAACATTAAAATCAGTTTCTTAGAATTGTGTGTGAAGATGTGGACTGGATGAAGCTGTATTAAAGTATATTCCAATGGTGAGTCTTGTGGACATGATAATGAATCTTGAGGTTCAAAAGAAGGGAGGGAAGTTTTAGTTAGCCAAATGATTATCACTTTCTTGAAAAATTTGCAGAATGAATTGGGTTTCTTGCTGTCATACCAGCTAGAATGAGTTCTTTTAAAATGTCAGTATGGTGTCTCTAACACACCATCTCAGTCATAAGATGATTTTCTTCATCATGCAGTTCCTAAGAATTTCATAGACTTCTTCAGTATTAAGATCAAACTTTGTGTGTGCATAGTACTTACAGCAATAGGCTTATAGTGACAGCTAGCTTCTTTCATTTATTATGCCATCAGGAGATCATGATTCATTTTACCACGTGATAGTGTCACATGTTGGATGTTTAACACCAAGTTACCACAAATTAATACAGCCAGTTCTTGATTTAGAAGGCTTTTGTTTATGCATTTTGGAATTATTCAGTTATCATACTAACACTGTTTTTTAATTTGCATGACCCTTATTTCAGAATTATGTGGTTTGAAAAGAAAGGAAATCATTAAATCATCTGAACATCAACCCTCTGCCTCAGGTATCTGGACAGCCAGTTGTTACCCATAAGTGAGGAGGCATCTTCACTTCTTGGTTTTCCACCATCATCCACTATTTGGTGATCTGACCTAGATGACCCCCTTCTCTAGTAACCACCACCTCCACCAGCAAGCCACCAAGTACTTTGGTTTCCCCTCCCAATCTTCATTCCACAAATTGCTCCACAATCACCCTCACCTATCACCTGAGGCTGGTACAATAGGCCAGAAGTGGCCGCAGTACAAGGGACTTAGTCCCACCCCACTAGCAGCTAACCCCTTGAGCTATGGCATGGCCTGGATCCAGATTAGAAACACAATTTAGTAACAAGTGTTATATGATGAAAACTGCCTGATTATATTCAGCTGGATTGAAACATATAGGAGATGCAGAATGATAAACAAATGTCAATACAGTAGCACTGGTTTATTTATTTGGAATTTGTTGGGTTGACAGCCATAATAATACTATAAAACCATGTCTCATAGGTTATGAATAGCAGGTGTGAACGCATGACTCCTTTGTTTACATTTTGAAGCATCCAGTTTCAATAGTCACTTCTTGCTGCATAATCTGGGCATTTAAGCTCATGCATAGACATTATTTTATATGGGTGAAACTTAATTAGTCTTGTGGCTGTAGATATGTATCCTGATAAAACTAGTTTCATGTGTCAAGCACCTTAACAGTTTGTGGTTGCTGATCTCTTATCATGGCTGCAATTGGATTGTATCTTTTTGCCACAAACTAAACCTGTGGTCTGTCTTTCTTTTTTTTGGAAGCTTCAGTACCCAGGACTTTGTGGGAACTTGTTCCTGTAGGTATTTATGAGCAAACCTTTGAAGGCACTTTCTTGGTAAAGTAAGGTAAAAGTGATGTCCTCATGCTTGAGAACAATGGCATGAAGACATATGGAGGAGTGAATACTTAATCTTAGCACTCAGCTTCTTGCTCAAGCTAATTTACTCTCAGGGAAAGAGCCCCCAGTATCTATCCAGGAGACTGAATGGGCCCCAGAGCTGGTCTGGATACTGTGAAGAAGAATCAGATCTCTTGCTTCTGCCAGAAATTTGAGGATACCTAGTTCCTTGTTCAGAACTCTGCTAATTGTGTATTTGACCCCTGATAGCTGTGGTAATCAATATTATAGACACTTATAATGTCAGTTTTCATGGAATGTGGTATGAAGGGCACACCATTAGAGACTGCCTGATTCAAGTAACTATGTACTAATTCCAAGTAACTTGATTGATACCACTATGATCGTTCTTTGAACTTCTGAGTTGAGAGCAACAAAAGTAGTACCATGCAATTATAGGGTGCTGAAGTCTTTTATTGAGTTGCACATTGAAAAATATATAATTTTTATAATGGATATTTTCTTAGGAAAATGGAATATGTCACCTGTGCAATATATTTTGGCTGTGACTGATAAATTTGGCATGAGAAAATTGTGTGATGGCATTTTATAAATACATAATCTCCAGTGTCTAATCCACTGGAACACTACTATACAACTTATCAGTGGAAAGCATTTTTAATAAAACCTTCTCAGATGACCAGCTTTATCAGTTCAGAGCAGAAGTCCAATATTTCTGTGACCTTCTCTGACTTCATCATCAGGAAATGACTGTACTGGCCAGTCTTCTTGGTGAAGGAGGCCACTTAGATCCATCTGCACAACTGGAACAGAGTTAATAGCTTCATATTAGCCAAGTACCTGCTTACCAACATGTTACCCTGCTTCAGGTGAAGTGTGTGCATATACATACACAACAAAAGTGCAGCAATGTGCAGAATGAACAGCACCAGATAATTTACAGAGATCTGACTTCCCAGACTGGCTGATACTTCTTTCTGGTCACTGTCCTTCAGATGTCATTAGTTGGATGTGTATATATGACCAACATGTTTATCCAATACAGTACTGCCTGATAATGTAAAAAGAGAAGGTCTGTAAGGTAAAGTTTTCCCTGTGCTTAACTAATTAAGCACTATATCATGAAAATGTATGGGGGAGTGGTTGTATAGACCCATGTTTTCTTCACCTTGGCACTAGTTGGAGATGAGTTGTCAGCTTCATGCCCTGGCTGCTTTACCCCTGGGGAAAGTGCCCCCGGTACCCATTAAATAGGAGGTTGGGTGGACCGCAGAGCTGGTCTGGACAAGATGGAGAAGTGAAAATTCTTAAGTCTACTGAGACTTGAACTCCAACCCTTCAGTCGTCCAGCCTGCAGCCAGTCACTATATCAACTGTGCTATCCTGGTCTGTAAGAACTCCAAAAATGCTCTGAATTGATGCAGCTGGTCGTCCAAAAAGTTTTTATCACTAAACCATGGTGAAAGCTTCAAGTCTCATATATTAATACGCATTGTTTTTCTTGCATATATGAAGGCAATGGTTGCAGCTTTAGCTGAACTGCCACACACCCACCAACCAGCAATGGAGAAGTTTGAAAGTGATGCAGTATTTTTCCTCACACAAGCACAAGTATGTATAAGATTTCGTTCATGTACTTTGCGCTCAAAACAGTGTCATTACTTCAATAATGGACAACTAATTGAAAAGGCAATATGATCAGAAGATTATGAAAGGGTACATAAAATGACCCCCACAAATTGTGTATTGTCTACTTACAGATATTGTACATAATTTTATTTTCTAAAAGTGACTTTATGTGATTTTCTGTTCTTCAGACACTGTGTTCTGTATCGACAGGGCAACAAGATGACACCGATGAAACCATAAGCTTCCAGCTGAAAGGCTCTTTACTGTGAGTTTGTATACACATATTTGAAACAGACATGAGTTTCTTTCTGATCATACATAGTTCAAATTATACATGGTTAATATGATATTCTATTTAAGCATCCTGTTACACTTTACACAATATATGACACAAACTCCATCCTAGGTGCAACAATTTATCTAGTTCTTTTGTCTTATTTTCTTCAACATTACATGTTTCAGCCATAAATGGCCATCATCAGGTATTTTTCTCTCACATAGCTGTTACACTGCACGTAGTTTAAAATTTAAAAACACCAGCTTTCTTAATTGTTCATTTCTCTGTTGTTAATAGGTCCCGATATATCAGAATCCCCTTGCTGATATTTGTCAGATATGTATACAATCTTTGTTAATTTACATACGTCAATTTGATTTTTGAATTTTGGTATTTTTAAAATCTTCAATTTAAATTTAAAAATTTTAAAATTTAAAATTCAAAATTCACAGGGATATCTGCTCAAGGTCTACAGTGCTTCAGAGGCTACTTCTTGCTTTCAGCACCATTCAGGTATTAAAGCACATGTATTAAAGATAAGCAGCGGCATGCACACGGAGCCTGCACAGAATAATACCTGAATGGTGCTGAAAGTAAGAAGTAGCCACTGCAGCACTGTAAACCTTGAGCAGGTATCCCTGTGAATTTTGAATTTTACATTTTAAAATTTAAAACATTTTTAAATTTAAATTGAAGATTTTAAAAATACCAAAATTCAAAAATCAAATTGACTTGTGTAGGTTAACAAAGATTTTATACATATCTGACAAATATCAGCAAGGGGATTCTGATATATCGGGACATATTAACAACGGACAAATGAACCATTAAGAAAGCTGGTGTTTTTAAATTTTAAACTGTGTGCAGCGTAACAGCTACGTGAGAGAAATACACCTGATGATGGCCATTTATGGCCGAAACATGTAGTGTAGAAGAAAAGAAGACAAAAGAACTACAATAAATTGTTGCACTTAGGACGGAGTTTGTGTCATACAACATGGTTAATATGATTAATAGACTGCAAGATGATTTATTAAGCATGGTATCCAAGTCTTGAGTATCTACTGTTCTGTCACTGCTAATTTTAATGAAACTCATAACTGTGGATGGGCTAAGTATATCATACCTTTAGCTGTCTTAACTGTATCACAGGCTGAGAGATTCACCCTATGGATATCTAAGAAATTTAGAACAACAGGTGTGACATAGTCAGCTGTTAAGAGGAAAGTCATTAACCTTTAGAGAGTGTGGTCATCTTGAATATTCACTTTCTGAGTTTATATATGCCTTCAGATGTCTCTCCCCTGCCTTTCCAGAGATCTATTTCTGAAAGATTAGACTTTTGTGATGTGACATCATGGAGTCTGGTAGAATGTTACCAGTATTTCTTCAGAATCGAACTCCCCTTGTTTTCCCTCCATTCTTCTACCCTGCAGACAAAGGCAGCAGGTTCCTTTCAAACACTGGTCTGCATTGCATCATATCCAAGAAGTCTGCAGTCATCAAAGTCAGAGCCATAAGGACCTCAAATCTCATCATTTCAGGAAGTTCTTTCCATCTTGGAAACTCTGAACACTCTCCTGCTTGAGCCTTTGGCATTTTGCTTTGGGTTCAAGAAGTCAAAGTCTCATCACCAGCAACTATCTCCCCACAAGGCTGGGTTCTTCCAGGAGTCTTGCTGAAGGGGCTGAATAAATTTCATTTCTTCTGATTTTTGGTTCAGCACTGAGACATTTTGATACAGTTTTAGCGTAAACTTTCTTCTAGATGTCTGGTCACAATTTCACAGTTCCTCTGTTCTTGTTCAGTTCTTCTTCTGTCTTCCTGTTTCAGTAGATGATCATTTCTCACCATTTCAATTGATTTTTCCATTTGTGGCTTACTTCTTTAATTTGTGAGTTGGCCAGAACTTTTGTATTACTATGGAGGTTAATTTCTTATTGATCTTACAGCTTTCTTCAAAACCATTTGTCAGTTTTTTCTCTGACTTTGCCCCTTTTTTTTCAGTTTCTGTCTTTGCTTATTTTCCTCATTTCTCTCTTTAAACCAGCTTCTCCTTGGCTGTTTTCTTCTTTACTGCTTCTGCAATTCTGTCATTCCACCAGGGCATTTCTTTTTTCCTTTTCCATGATATTATCCTCTCACATTTCTTCTGCTGTTATTATGGTATTATTCGGTAGATGAATACATGGCATACAGGCAAGCATAATACATTATTGTTGTCTTTCCAAGATTATGTATTATCTAGATTTGTTATATGACTGCTTTTTATTTTATTATTGTATTTTTATTTTTGAATTCTTGAATATTTTAATTGCTGAGACTAGATTGCATTTTGCAATGTCATTTTGCTGACGAATTCAATATCCGGTCCGGTTTCTGGACAATGGATCTGTGAAATTATGTATCTATGTATCTATGTACAAGGTCCGTATAAAAAGTATCGGGAAAAATCTTTCCCTTACGTGACTGTACACCGCAGCACGCTCGCACCGCGCAGGCGTGGTAGTGGGGGTCTAACCTTTAACACGCGCCATTCGCCTGAGCGCGTTTGTAGAGGCCAGGCCGTGTTTTCAGTGGACCCCTGTCGAGTGAGTCGGTGCAAGCGCAGAATGCAGCGAACGATTGAACAGAGGTAGATTTGAGGCTTTCATGGCGGTGACTATGAAGAAAGCAGTCTTCTGGGATTTGGCACCGTGTATAAGTGGTGTTAACCGACGTTTCGGAGGAA